TTAGATCTGGTGAGACAAATATACCCTTTTAAGGAAATAAGACAATTTTGCAAGCGGGGCACTGCTCCAGTTTTAGACTAGATGCACGCGTCATATTTAAATTGCTTGGATATTCATGCAGTGGCATAACGAACAGAGGATGGGGTCTTGAGATATACTTGGTACTGCCGGGTCCCTTAATTCGCTGTTTGTCATTGATCACGTTTTGCTCATATACTATGATGTTTCGTTATCTATTCTGGCCCCCAATAACTGGGGAACCTTATTTTAGTTCTCGTCCTAACCCTACCGAACGCGCGTTAGGTCACTGTATTTATGTCTTCAAATATTAGCTAGGGTATTTCAATTGTTGTATATAATTTGCATGTCAGACTGCATTAAAGACAACGAGCTGAAATGCTGAACCGCATTCTCGTCCTAGGATGCGGTCCTTTATTTTGAATACATTTTAATCAGTAGCTGCTTCGGACGGAGGCCCTGCTATCAGATTATCAGATGTAAATAAATTAGCTTAAATTTATCGCACTTTGTAAATAAATTTACAAGTGCGATAATATGTAACACGCAAAATCCCTCAATTTACTGATTTTAAAATCTGGTTTTGTCTGTTTACATACATTACAGACTTCCGACAATTATGCAACTTAATTAGCACCTTGCCAAGGCATATTATGGCTCGTAATGCTGTAATATATGGCTTGCGACGTTGTTTGTGCGCGCGGTGAACTTTGGCTTTATGGAAGCTACAGAAGTATATTAAAACACAAATTCTAACCATTCAGTGCATTACCGAAGCACAAAAACGATAAATTTTTAAAAGAAAGCTTATAACGTGAAATTTGTCGCTAATGAAATAAGAGCACGCTAAGCATAAACCAGAACATGAAGCGCAAAAAAGCATTCGATTAGGCTAAAATGATATAACCCTACTATTTCCTTTACAAGCCTTCTACTAAGGAACTGAATACATTTCTGGGAGTATTTCTGTGTAACACATTCTGCGCTTCTTCTCTAAAGTTGTAACATTGCAAATGTTTAATCGAATGTTGAACCAAATCCAATGCGATTGAACGAAATTCCGGCAAACGTTTCAACGAACGGTAAATCAAACCGTTGAACGCTTTTGGACCAATTTTCGAACGATTTTTCCTAAGCGTTCGAACGGGCAATTTCGAACGATGAACGATCTCGAAAATCGTTTCAACGAACGCTTGAAGCGTTTGAACGGCAAACGAACGGATAACGAACGATATTTTTGAACGAACGAAATAGCGTAAACGTATGTTTTCCCGTGGAAGATCACATATGTTAATGTAGTTTTTACATATGTGATGTCAACAGTTATTTAACACAAATGTTCGCCTATACTCGCGCGATTCTTTGACGTTCATATGGTAACCGTATTTCTTGTTTCGCATAGGTGGTTTGTTTGAGTAAAAACGAGCTAGTACACTGGCTAGTACACTGTTGGCTTGTTCTCCCTGGATTTCCTGTTTTACTTGCTCTCATAGATATTTAATGGAATATTTTTCCATAATCGCGGGTTAGGACGCGCAGTCAGCAATCGGGCCATCGGGCCTAATAGTGCCATATAAGGCCACATAGGGCCCAAACGGGCCTATGAGCATATGCTCATAAATGTTCATGAAAAGATGCTCATCTGCTCAATGAGATATTTCAGGCCCAAGCTCCTCAAAGGGAGGAAAAAGGGGGTATGGCGAATGCAAAAATGTATGCATTTTTAGAGGGAAATATATATTGGTGTTATGGACAACGCGATGCTTGGAGCATAAATTAAGACACGGATTAACGCTTGTAACAATATAATAAAGTAGAACAATTTTACAAATATTTTAAACATATTGTCCGGGCACTACACTGTTTTCTTGTTTAGATCGTTTGACTTTGTCTTCCTTAAGCAAGAGTTTGCGTTGACAAGCCCGGACTTTTCCGGGGCTAATACGGGGCTAATACGGGGCTAATAAAATACCTGACCCACGAAAAAATGAGCCAATTATTATTAGGAATTTGTTGAGCAATCATCTTAATATGCGTCGCACGCGTAGGAACTGTCCTGTATTTGGCTGTGGTAGTATAAATTTAGCAAGGTTAGCAAATCATCTCGACCAAGTACACGGTATGAGCACAGAGGAATACTGCGCACTGCGCAAAAGGTTAAGTCCGCCATGTTTTTTGCTTCGAAAAGATGGCGGCGAAGTTACCGAAAAATGACGAACCAGTCCTCCAGGAATTATAATATAGCTCAGTGTTTTGCACCCAAAGTTCTTACTGCAGATATATGTGGGAACATCTAAGGTCAACAAGTCCCACAGTTAGTTGAAGTAGAGTAGTACATGAACTGAAATACGTCTCCAATATTACTCCTATAGCTTCGACGATGTCCGGAATGCACTATCACTGTAACCTATGCATTAACTTTACATGTCAAACTCTTCGCTCGTTGATCAATCATCTCGGTCGGGTTCACAAGAGTGATCGGGATTTCCATGCGCTATGTGGCATTAATGAATGTCCACGTACGTACACGAACTATTTCTCTCTGCGAAACCATTTTGTCAACAAGCATAGTCAAGTACTTCAAGCAGAGGAAGTTGTTGAACGAGATCCACGTGCCAACAACGAGGGAGATGAACTTGACGTTTATAATGGTAAAAACGATAACGATGATTTTTTCGTATTTGTTTGCGAGGTCGAGAGTAATCAACGATCAAATGTATTGGGCTTAATCAAGGTCAAAGAGGAAGGCAAGGTACCCCAAACGATTGTCAATCCGATGGTGCAACATACCACCCAGATTGTCGAGAACAGCGTCGATGCACTTCAGTGTGGTCTCTAGCAATGTTATCGAATGCGGGTTTGTTTACCAAAATACGCATAAGTTTTTTTACCAAAAGTTGTTAGGTACAGTCTGTATATATATATATATATATATATATATATATATATATATATATATATATATATATATATATATATATATATATATATATATATATATATATATATATATATATATATATATATATATATATATATATATATAGTTATAGTTGTTTCAACTCTAAGGGTAGTTTCGACTGGGGTCAAAACGACTCTACAATAGAGTCTTGTTACTCTACCAAAAGGTAATGTTACTCTTCGAAGGAGTCAATTTGACTCTAATTGCAAAGAGTAACCGAACTACGAAAATTACCGTTTCGTCTAATTTATAATTATGCAAACGTTGTTTTGTTGATTTTACTGGTTGCGCCCAATCACACTGATCAGTGATCACACACGGCAATAATTTTCAATTTCACTGAGGCAAACAGTTATACAGTATTTATATAATCATGCACATGCACAGCAAAATCGAGAATTCTTACCTAGAATAATGTTCTTGAGAAATTCTTATTTTAAGCAAAAGTTTGCTCAAAATAAGTAAAAGGGGATAAATTATTCTTATCAAGAATGAATTTTACTTGAATAAGTAAACTTTTTTTAAGCAAGAATAACCGTTTCTTAAAACAAGTAAATGTTCTAGCTTGTATTCTAACTAATAATTTTGGTATTCTTAAAACAAGGAAGGTCTTTGTGGATTCTTGGCAAGAAACATTGTTAACTTAAAACCGGCAATCAAAAACGCTTGTTGCCAATTCACTTGCCAAGAATACTAATTTCAAACAACCAATTTATTTCAAACAACCAAGAATATTTTTACATTCTTACTAAGTAACATTTAATAACCGAGCAAAGATTCGCAAGTTTCGTTTCATATGCAGACGAAATGAAGGTTTTAATGCCTATTTAAGCATTCTGAATGGACGTAGTTCGTTTCTTATGAAAATATATATTTTAAACTTCGCTAACTGCCAACTGGCGGAAAGAACTGTGGATTATTGTGGATTACTGTGGATAGGATTTACTGGACATTATGTCGCAAAATTTCCTGCAGAAGATTGCGCAGATTGTTTTAAAAGTGGCTGGGAATCTCAGTCTTCTAAGAGGTAAGGATTTAAAATTATACGCGCAAACAGACGAAAGCTATTTTTGAATTTGCCGCGTAAACAGTAAACGTATTTATAAACAATAAACAGATATATTCACAGTTTTAATACTCATCATTCCCGATAAATGAACGACGTTTATATAAATATATTATAACGTGGTTATACTATAGGCACTATGCCATAAAAAGTGTACGTGATATTGACGTTAGCTATAAAACCATGGTCAAATTTTAGCTGAAACATTTGTACTCAATCTTAGGATCATGATATACTGAATCTTGGTTACTGGATATACATAAGTTTTGATTAAGAATTAGGATGAAATAACTGTTATATTGCCTTTTAAATTTTTTTATATGCATTCTTAGATGGTGGATTAACAAGTGGTGATGTTTATGTCTAAACCTGTAATGAAAGAGGTCTCATTGGAAAGTAATATCTGTGGTAAGTAATGCATTATAAGGAATTGTGCAATGCTGTTAGATTATTCACCTAAGCATATGGCTTAGTTTTTAATGTATAATATAATATACCGGTAATTATATACTTATTGACCAATTGATTATATACTTATTTATCATGTAATAGATAAAACACGTTCCAGAGTAAAGTGTGATATTCTGTTTAGTGCATTTCTTAACAAAATGCCACATTAAAGCCAAATACAGCAAGAAAAAAAACATTTTGTTGTTGAATTTGGGCAGAACGTGTAAAATTTACAAAACAAGAATGTTTGCATTGCTAACTTGGGACGTTTTATCAATTTTTCTCTAAGTTCTAAATATTGAAGGTTTTGCTATTTTTTTTAATTTCCACAAAAAAATACAATGCTAGCTGTTAGTGGTCAATTTGATGTAAAATCACCCCAAATTGCATAAACTGTACCAATTGTCTATTGATAAATTATAAAAAATCTCATCATTTAGCAGGCCATATAATAATACATGATAAAAACAGTTAATGAAACACATTTTATTTAAATACGTGGCAGATACATTAATCATCTTGCTATTTTGAGGTATTTTGCTACTAAAATGAAGATTGATTCAGCACAGTGTGGTATTTCGCAAATTTGCCACAATTATAATGGAAAATTGATTTACAGCATGTCCAATATCACAAAGCAAACCTTTTCTGGTTTCGAGATCTCGAAAGCCTTGCCTGGTTTCGAGATCTCGAAGCCTTTGCCTGGTTTTGAGATCTCGAAGCCTTGTCTGGTTTTGAGATCTCGAAGCCTTTGCCTGGTTTCGAGATCTCGAAGCCTTTTGGTTTCGAGATCTCGAAGCCTTTGCCTGGTTTCGAGATCTCGAAGCCTTGCCTGATTTAGAGAAAATATACAATATAATATAATAATACAATATAATAATTACAATATAACAATACAATATTAACTGTTAGGAAATTGTTCAATTAATCATATAATTAATTAATTAAATAAATTACATTAATAAAATACATTCTTGAGCTTAACATAGAAGCTGGTACAGCAATGAACAGCAACTCTACCATATACACTTTCAATAAAAACAACATATTAAGATCACTACTGTCAGGTACATACTGTATTTGCTAGGTTTACCTGATTTATTTAGCCCTCTGCTGGATTAATCTCACTTTAATAGCAGACCTGTCAAGAACTAGGCATTTTACACAAAGTTCTTGGCAAGCTAAGGCACATGATCCTGAACCTCCGCAGGCATCAACTACATATAGAGTTTTGTCCTGTACAAAAAGGTTTAGCAATTTTACATACAATTTAACTGGCTTTTGCCTTTGGTGGGTGATTCCAGTGTCTTTTTCTGCGAAGAACTCATCTGCAGACTGCGTGAATAGGTCATCTCCTTTGATTGGTTGACATGTTTTTGTCACAATGAGAGGGTGTGTTGACTTTGTCAAGGAACAGCTCTCTGCAAGAAACAACACAAATTATGAATGCTCACAGTATGAGGTTGTATGGCATTCAAGGTCTGATAGCATGGAGCACCTTACTGATATGTTAGCATTTTGGGTTATACTGGAGAAAGCATGTGATGCATAAAACTTCATAACTTTCTCTTTATACAACCATTCTTCTTTCTTTGTGATTTCATAAGTATGAAAATTAAAAAAATCACTGCACAAGGGAATGATGCACAAAATATATAACAGTTTTAATATTACACATACCTTGTAGTACTACAGGATTGCAATGATAATACGCAATGTCCCATTCAATGCCCATGGACTCTAGGACTGTCACAAGAACTGACATGTTAGGAGTCTCTCCCGGGAAGATGACAAATCTTGTCTGTTCGACGTTATGCCTGAAGTTGATGGTTCTCATCATCCTTAGAAACTGCTCTAAATCTTTTGATGCTCATGACTAGAATGTATAAAAATGAAATAAAAATACATGACTAAAATAACAACATGTATGGTCTGTTGGGGTAGAAGTTGAGGTCAGGCTGAGTGTACCACAGCAAACATCATGCAACAATATGAAATACTGTAACACTGACCATGTTTCCAGATTGTGTGCATGTTACATGTACATAAACGGACCTTTTACTGTACTATATTCAATCAGGCATGAACTCTCAAACTAAAAAGCACGCAAATATACCCAATATATCAAGTACAATCTACGATTTCATTGGGAAAGGCAATTTTCATATCCACAAAATGCTGTTCATCTTAAACAACAAACGATGTGGATGCCAAATATAGTGCAAAAAATTTGGAGATTTCGTTGAGATTTCGAGCTATCCGGCTTGCTCGGTAAATACCCGTGACTCAGGTTCACAAACTCCACAGGTGCTTAGGCATATGGAAATTTTCGATTCCCGTGAAAATGCGGAATTATCTGGGAAAATATCGACCAGAAGCGACACTAAAGGTTGCAAGAAAAATATTACGTACCTCTTTCTCATTTTAGAAATCAAGGTTGAGCCAAGAGACTTTGGTCAAAATCACGCGCGCCAATGTTGTGTTCAAGCGGGTTCAAGTCATCGGGTCTTCTTCCCAAGACTTGAATGCACTTATCACTCCCCCATATTCAGTCCCAGCCAGTTGAAAATTCGTCTTGTATTACAACACGAATCCAATTTACATAATATGTAAATTTAGACCGCTAAAGCAAGAGAGTTTCCATGCCATTCACAAATAAATACAGCAGTTGAAAAAATACAACCGCTCGTTGCCTCGTTGGAGCCATGGAATCTTTCGCGGCACCATTTTAACAAAATCCACTGTTAAAAAGTCCATTTTTAACAGCAGAAGTAATGTTCGTGAGCTAATAAGGAGCTTTCCATACTTTAAACTTTTCGATCACTGCCGAAAGAAATTCAGATCTCAATAAAACTTTCGCTTTGTGAATTTCGTTAAAAATTCGAATTCGAACAAACATGCTGCTATGTGCCAGCGATTTTTTGCACAGCGACAGCAAATTTCCCAGCTGTTAGAAATAGCATGAAGCATCTCTATAATATTGACCGCTGCTATAGATTTTTAACAAGACTGAGGACTCGTATTTACAAAAGTTGACAATATTTTGATCGGAAATATTGAATATAAAAACGCAATAAATAAAAGAAAATGTTCAAAATACATCCAAATAAGTCAACGAAAAAGGTGTCCTTGATATAAAAAGGTCCCTTTGAATCAACCTACAAGTTGCCGATGAAAATGGCGATGGCTAGTCTTTGCTAGGATCGCAATTCGGCATCGACATGTCTTCCGAAGCAAAAATATATTCTGTTGGAGCCCAAATGGCAAGAATAAAAGCGTATTAACGGCTGAAAACCTTGGTATGTGTTGATTTTAATGTTTTGTTGCTCCTCCAAGGTTTATGGGGCAATATTTAATTACGTTTTGAGAAGTTAACGATACTTTTGAGGATGATTAACTTTAACTACAATTTAACTATGAATAACGCTAACCACGTCTTTATACAACCGGCCTAACTACGTGATTAAAGTTAACGACATTTTAACGTGTTAACGACATTGGCCACATTTGGGTATCTTGGGCCTCTTGGCCCTTGGGATTATTTTATTATTGTATTAACAATTGTGAATAGTTTGTCAGATAAGGTTAAGCAAGTGAAAATATTGTTATTTTGACATCAACATCACGCAAGTGTATAACAAACAAACTCTAATTGAATATTTTAAATATATCATTTTATAGGATTTGGAGATCCCAGAAGGTGCCCCTGATCTTGTTCCATCTTCACCAGATAATGTGGACTTAGACAGATTGAAGAAGGATATCCCGAAATTTCTAAACAACTCCAGAGTCATTTCTACTGAACAAAAGGAGTGGTGGGACACCTTCTTTGCAGATGCTTTGGAAACATACCAAGTCTCCCCGGAGAAGCGTTCCTTGTGGCTGCTAGACGAAGTAAAGATCTTAAAGGCTTGTTCTTCAAACACAATGGCAACACCACATGCTTTGTCATCCTTGACCGTGCTTGTAGCACCCATGTCAGATGCCACAGAAAAGGCAGCTGAGCTTGTCAATGCTCAGTTTAATGAGATTCCAGAGGTATAGTATTAAGGCTATGTACAGTTAAAACACACCAACCTCAGTGAGGGTAGCTGGCCAATGTGCATGCGATCAGAGTTGATGACAATGGAGAGTAGTGTCCAATACACTACAGCAGATCAACTAGGTACTGTAAAGTCTCATATTTACTAATTTCTCAAATTCTTTTTAAGGTTTACACTGGCCCTTATGTGAGACCAAAAACAGTCTCAGAAGTTGATAACCTGTGGCAGTTTGTGACAGTTGGGGTATTTGTGGCAGTAAACCTTGAAAATTATGAAAAGGTACCCGTCATTGGCAAAGTTGTTGAAAAAGATGAAGATAATGTCAAGGTGCACTACTGGAAAGGTTCTTGGAACAAGAAATGGACTCCTTGGTTGTACAATAATTTGCCTTGGATTGATGAGCTGCCAAAGGACTGTATATATTTAGCATCATTTGAACTTGATGAAAACGATAAACTGCAGAAGGATACTAAGCGAAGTATTAGAGAATTTTTCAACAAAGACAAAACTAATTAAAAATTTTAAAGTGATAATGCAAAGACTCAGGTGTGTATATTAAATGTATATATGTGAGTCACCAACCGGGCAAGCTGAAAAATTAGCTTGACCACGGTGGGAATCGAACCCGCGACCTTTGGTTTGCTAGTCCAATGCTCTTCCAACTGAGCTACAAGGTCAAGACGGTTCGAGTGGTTGATATTTCGGAACTATTGGTGACTCAGAGTAGCAACATCACATATATACATTTAAAAATTTTAAGCTGTAATTAATGGCTTGCAATATTTATATATACAAAATTAATTTAATCTTAACATACCAATGTTTTGGTAACTGTACCAGTAACCATAGTCATTCCTTAGAGCACTTGAAACCAGCCAATGCTTTAATATCTCAAGTCCTTGTCTGGTTTCGAGATCTCGAAGCCTTTGCCTGGTTTCGAGATCTCGAAGCCTTTGCCTGGTTTCGAGATCTTGAAGCCTTGCCTGGTTTCGAGATCTCGAAGCCTTGTCTGGTTTTGAGATCTCAAAGCCTTTGCCTGGTTTCGAGATCTCGAAGCCTTTGCCTGGTTTCGAGATCTCGAAGCCTTTGCCTGGTTTCGAGATCTCGAAGCCTTGCCTGATTTTGAGATCTTGACTTTTGCAAAATGATCAGTTTTTGGCTATTTATATTCTTCTTCTATATACATAGATAATAATTTTAATAAAAAAGATGAATATAGCAATAAACAATATTTTTGTTGCTAATATTTGAATATTTACTTGATATCAGCCAAACCTCTGTCTTTTCTTGCAGATTTTTTGCAAAAATGGCTTTTTTAGCATGTTAAATGCTGTTGCAAACCGTTTCTTGAGAAATACTCATTTATTTGGCAAAAAATGAGCCAATTTTAAGTAAACAGAATATCACACTTTACTCTAGAACGTGTTATAAAAGGAAAAATCATTGACAGCTTACCAGATGACTACCCTTTATGCCTAATTTTATATATGTCAGAGCATGCAAAACTGTGCATAGCATCCCCAATCATATATTTCACACATATTATGCACTGCTTAGTTTCTTTAACATTTGTTATCTTAACTCTGATTTCTCAAGTATGCTTGCTTTTTTGTTTTATTAGGAACATGGATTGAGGTAGTGAGCAAGAAATTCAGTGGAAAATTTGCTATACCAATGGTTAATTGGACCCACAGTGTTTCAGCACTTAATTTTCAAGGAAAAAAATACTCCAGGTGATCTTATAAATATTTTCATGTTTGGCATGATATACAAAATTTAAGAACAGCTGGTCAATAATCAAAGGGAAACATTGCTCAGGAATGAATGACTTTAGCTTATGTGTAATAATTGAAGACATGCAGTGAGTTTGCATAGATGTGTTTGTCTTCTTCCATGAATATTTTTATTCAACTACTTCTGGGTTCATACAAGGGCTTAATTTCATTATCTGAGCTCTATCGGATACTTTCCTAAACTTGCCAATTAGCAATTTTTAATTAAGTCCTTGAAAGACTTGTTTATTTGAGCAAGGTATTGCACAAACCTAGCAGTACTTTGAAAAAACTATTTCTGTCAGATGTAAATGTATGGCATTTATATATTTAGTATGGCCACTAAATAAGTAGTTTTAATATTTTGAACTAAAATAATGTATAAGAATAATGTATCTGTGATGTTTTCTTTTGTCTAAAAATTTTGTACTTATTATAAGTAAAATTATTCTTGTTTTAAGTAGTTTTTTTCTTATTTGTAACATTCTAGGTAAGAATTGTGTGAGTAGGTTCCTTAATATACAATAATAATTTTGCTTATTTCAAGCAATGTGTTACTTAAAACGAGTATTTTTTCTTTAGAAAATTCTTGTTGCAAGAATTGTTTTTCTTAAAATGAGATTCCAGGTAAGAATAATATTCTTGCCTGGATTCTTGCCTAGAATAATATTCTTACTATACTGACAAGAACAATTTTACTTGTTTGTATTTTTTTTTCTTAAAATAAGACTCACGATTTTGCTGTGTGCATGTATTATGGATTTGGCTTGATTTACATGAAATTAGGTTATAAATTATACAGGGACTGAAAAGCGTAAACATGCAGTGCTTCCACTTCCAACTCTAGGCCTTTATGTAATGTGATTTATTTACGCATAGATATATTGCCAGGCATGAATTTTGCATACCCTTTCCGCAGCTCAGTTTTCTGAGCATCAATAATGACACATTAAATTTTACGCCGTTTTGGGATAATTTTGGCTAGGAGTAATGGTTCTCCTAGCCGCTTTATTTCTGTTAAACAAAACGATATTTATTAATACATTGCATTAAAATTCCAAATAGTTACGCACAGAAAAGGGTGGAGGCAAATTACCGCCAGCACCTGTAGATACGGCCTACGACCATCACTAATTGAGATATAACGTTCCTCTCTCATATATATCAGCTACGGTAAATCGTCCAATGTACATAATTGTTAGCGGAGGCTTTGGGGAGGAGGTGGGTTCAACTTTAAAGGAGATCTGTCTTTCGCGATGTCACGCTTAAACTGACCGTTTATGGTTTGGGTATTCGGTCTTTGTTAGTTTTCGATTTGCTGCTGGCCATTGACCACCTTTCCCATATTGCGTGCCATCCATTACCTGTCGGTCTTTTAGATAGGACACAAAGCCCATAATATAAGATTTTTAATTATCGTCGGCAAGGCGTATCCCCTTGGGGGTTAACCTTGCCTTAATAGTCTATTTATAAAATCACATTACATAAATTTCTTATTTCCTTCGTAAATATTTTGTTTTATGTAATGTGATTTATTTACGCATAGATATATTGCCAGGCATGAATTTTGCATACTCTTTCCGCAGCTCAGTTTTCTGAGCATCAATAATGACACATTAAATTTTACGCCGTTTTGGGATAATTTTGGCTAGGAGTAATGGTTCTCCTAGCCGCTTTATTTCTGTTAAACAAAAGATATTTATTAATACATTGCATTAAAATTCCAAATAGTTACGCTCAGAAAAGGGTGGAGGCAAATTACCGCCAAAACAACGAAGCAAAGCAAGTTGACCCCACCCCAAGGAAAGGGATGCATGCAGAAAGTTTCAGAAAGTTTCGTAATACATTAATACAGGATCAGCGGTCTGCGCGACCGTATAAACGAACATGGGCAAAAAGGCACTTACAAAGCCCGTTAAAAGGCATAGATTATCGCCCTTGCTGATAATCTACACTTAACTGATATTAGTTTAGCAGAGTCACAATATTACCGCGCCCAGAAGAAGCTTCTCCATCACCCTGTTATACACTGTTAATTTTGAAGTGTTAAAATAGCACCACCGTAGGTGCCAAATCAACACCATGCAGTGGTGTTAAATAGAAAGTGCTATTTTGGCACCAAATTCGGTGCTAATTTAACACCACCAAATCTGCCATTAGGCTAAAAGTGCCAATATGACACCATATTACCAGCACCATTGCAAGGTGCCAAAATAACACCTCTTTTGCCGACGGGAAGTGCTAAAATAACGCCATATAGGGAGTTAAATATGGGGGGCCAAAATAACACCAAATGGCGGATAGGACGGGAAAGAGCACGTTTGATTTTATTTAAGATATTGGAAAAAAAAATTGTATTTTCGAATGAGATGATTTTGGAACAAGAAATTCGCGTGCGTTTTCGCACAACTATTCATCTAAAAGACGACATGGAAATTCGGCTTGTTGCTATGAATTACGACAGATACGTTTCTATAAAAAAACCCCGAAATACATCGATAGTGATCCATTGTCCTTTTTATTTTATCAAACTATGTTATTCTGTGCTATGTATTGATTGCTACAAAGTAAATATTTCGCAATCGCGTATAAGCATATGTATGTCCATATAAGGAACGAAATATGACACGTGTCGGCGTTTGTATGCAAATTTTTGAGCGCGTCGTTTGAAAACTCTTTTGATTCGTATATTCATCAAGATGTTTATGCTGCTGTGTTCAAGAAGTTTTGAGCGTATTTACTCAACTATTTCGGTACTTCTAAATATCGTGAACAACAACGGGCTCTAATAAGGAAATTTCAAGGCAATTGGTTGTTGTATTATCTCTGAAATATCTTGGTAAGTGTTTGAATTTGATCAAATTCAGACATACAATATCCATGTTCGCTCAAAGTCAAACGGAGTGAAACGGCCAAATCGCTAAACAAACAAATGTGTGCTATTTTTTTATTCTAGAGAGGCCAAATGACGTATTCTACTTTACTGCGATCTCTTCAGGAAGCTGTGGTCAAAGAAAATATCATTGCAATAATAGGTATCTGTTCATATTTATTTTACCGTAATTTTATGAAGCGTCTTCGCTAGTCTCTTATTTTATTGACGTAATTTTGCGATATTTTATCCTATATCAACGATTGTTCGTGCTCTATTTTGATATATTAACAATAATCCGTGCTCTATTTTGATAAATGTGACTTAGAGGGCAAGTTATTTGTCTAAAATCAATGCTTGTGTATGTCCTTTGATAGAATTATTACTGTGTGAAATATAATCTCCTATACAGGTTATCTGAAAGTCCCATTTTAGCCTGTCATTTTTCAAATTCACATTTATATTTTGGTCAAATAACAAAGTATGGTTTCCTTAATTTAGTAAAATCATTTTCTTTTGCAAGTAAGGTTTGCAACTGAACACATTCTATTACACTGTATTTGTTGCAGGTAAAGGCAGAATTTGGAAGTGAAATGTGCAAGAACAGATTGGTCAATGGTATGGTTGGCAAATTTCAGTCTATCAAGAGTTGTCAAGAATGCCAAAAATTGTGCCAAGAAGTATGTATTGGTTCTTTCAAACCGGATAGAAACAACAAACAAGATTAGCCGTACAGAGAATCAGGTAAATCATGCAATTAATATACTATAATTTTCCCAAGGACAAAATTACAATGTCACCTGTAGTTTATTGCCCCACAATCTGCTATTTAGACTGTCTTAATTTATCCATTGCTTAGTGTACCTATTATAGTTTTGGTACCTAATTAGATTTTCTCCCATTGATAAACAATTTGTTTTTCAAAACAGACATTCAGAGCACAGCTAGTGGTTGCTTTAGGTCTAACAGAAGGAGAAATTCTCCTCTTTATGTTAGGAAACCTTGTGGGCTGATTTGACTTTTTTAATGATTATTGATATAATTTATCTTAGGTTGATGACTCTATATACAGATGAGGGAATACAAACAATAAAAAAAATGGCCATGGAAGAGCATATGCTGGGAAGTGAGTTTCTGTCGATGAATTTATAAAAGAACTTGACATTGATTGTTGAAAATTGTAAATATTTGTCTGGCTGTTTTTGTAAATAGTCCTGCAGGAGTAATTGTAAATATGCAACTGTGACCAAGTTTAATATATTGATTTTTATTTCCTTGTATATGTCTCATTAATTTTGATTTAGATATGATTATACTGATGTACTGCACATTAAATTGCAGTAGGTAAAAAGGTGCTGCTTTAACACCAAATGTAGTGCTAATTAAACACCCAAAGGTGTTATTCTGACACCAGAATGGGGGTTAATTTAGCACCAGGGATTGGAGTTAATTTAGCACCCGGGTCATGGTGTTAAAATAGCACCTCGACAGGTGTTATTTTTGCCATATTGATTCAACACCTTTTTTGGTGCTAAATTGACACCTTCAAATTAACAGTGTAAGCACTTTATTTCCCCCCCCCCCGGAATGCAAACGATCGCCCTTGCTGACCATGTGCAAGCTGAGGAAGAAATAAAATAACCGCACAATTCGAGCAGAAAACTCCCCGCACGTTTTACGCTCGAAAATTCATCCAAACTATGTTGATAGGGAAGAAAAACGTATATATTTGAGGAATGCGTTAGATTTCCAACGCCCCATTGTTCGAATTTGGGCATCAGAGTGCCCGTGTTCAGCTGCGTGGGAAGCGGCGCCTATTCGAAATGAATGAGACTTATATTTGGAAGTATCGAGTCCACAGAAGCGGAAAGCCTTTTTAAGAAGATTGGCAAACTCGTCACACGAGACTGGAATGCCCAGTTGTGATAGAAAAATAGCTCCGGGCTGGGTACTTAGCAAAATCATGTACTCCTCTAATAAGCGAACAGGACAGCATGCCGTTTGCCTGTAAATTTCCAAACTGAAAGGTCTACTGTTATAATTGTGCTTGAAGTCCTCGAAAGTCAACCTTATGCCTGCAACCCGGCCATCATCGGGAGATATTTTGGAGAGTTGTCGCAATTGAAGGGGCTCGTTATTTGACTTCTTAGTTATTTCTCCAATTCTCAGGAACGCGAAAAATGCTAAAGAGCATATTGCCCGGAATTGACATATTTGTTACGGTGACCCAGCAATACGAGGCGCAGCCTCAATAAGACGATTGAGAATTGGTAAAGTTATAGGCAACCTACTATCTAAGCGGAAGCCTTTCTTACCATACCCCTTTAAGATTTGCGTTACGTAGAAAACTCTCGTTGGATCCGGTTGATCGGACATGCGATGAGTATAACCAAGTGCAGATACATAAGTGTTAACTGTTGAAGAGGCGTACTTGAGGTCAAATAAGTACGCTATGAATAACGCAACGACTGAGGGCGACAAAGGCAAAGTGAACGATCCCTCATTAAAAATTGCCCCATGAAATTGCGTAAAAAGTGCCCATGCCCGTTTATAAGTCGGCACTGAAGAAGGTTGCAAGCTACTTTGAGCTAATTGAGAAACTATAGTCGCCAATTTTCCGGCAGCAGGTGAAAGGGAATAGGCGTTGGAGCTCGATGCATGTCGGCCGGCGCCAATTGTGAAAATTTTTGGAGCTGTAAACGAGACAAACAATCAGCTAGGACATTTTGTTTACCCAGTATATGCTTTGCTTTGAATAAAATATTGTATTCTAAACAAACTAAAACCATCCGGCGAACGAGTGTCATGATATAAGAATCCTTTGATGTTTGCTTATTAATAACAGACACCAAAGCTTCATTATCCGTGAGAAACAAAATACAATGATTGCGCATTTTTGATCCCCATAAACACAGGCTGAGGACAATCGGATATAGCTCTAGAACGGCAATATTGTAACTCCGCCAGTCAGTTGGCCATGCGCCATAGCACCAGTCGCAACCAAACAGGGCCCCAAAACCAATACTACCCGAAGCGTCAGTATATAAATTCAAATGGGAGTTATTACGCCAATGGTTGTGCAAAAAGAATGATTTGCCGTTGAAATTCGACAGAAACGTTTGCCAGACACGAAGATCATGTTTCACACTTTGCGTTAAGCGAATAAAGAAATGAGGGTGTGAAATGCCACGCGTTAGATCAATTAAGCGTCGCAGGAATGCGCGACCTGACGCATAATGACGGAACATGCGAAATTAAGTAATCCAATTAAGGACTGAAGTTCTTTGAGTGTAACCTTTTTACGAATTAAAAAGCGTGCGATAGATTGAACACATTTCTCGATTTTATCCATCGGCAATCGGGCCTGGAATTGTATTGTATCTAATTCAATCCCAGCGAACGTTAAGGTTGTTGAGGGACCCATGGTTTTTCCCGGTGCTATATGCACGCCAATGAAATCACAAAGAGCAATGAATCCTTCTAAGTTTGTTTTACAAGCAGAATAATCCGGTGCAACAAACAGGAAGTCGTCGAGCAAATGAAGGAGTTTGCCGATGTTAAGCCTTTCCCTAGCGATCCATTCGATAGCCGTACTAAAAATCTCAAAAGTGCGACACGAACTGGAGCAACCCATTGGCATTGCCCGCACAGAGAATTTTATCGAGTTAAAGCAACTCTTTTTGTAGGGTTAAAAAACTTCTTGGTGTAGAGTTATTTTTCTAGAGTTATTTTTACTCTGAAAAGAGCGTTATTTTAATTATCCTTCCAATAATCGGAGTTGAAATAACACTATCTAGAGAGTTAAAAAGAGAAGAAGTTATTTTAACTTCCCAAGGGAGTTATTTTTACTGCATGAGAGTCAAATCAACTACACTTACGGAGTAAAATTCACTCTAACTTTGAAGTTAAATCAACTCCTGTTTCATGGTAAAATCAACTCGAATTTCGGAGTTTAAATAACTCAAAATTTAGCGTTAAAACAACTAAAACGTCGGAGTTAAAATTACCTAAAATTTCAGAGTTATATCAATTCGCATTTCAGAGTTAGCTAAATCGGCGAAAACATCAAATCGCACTTCGGAGTTAAATCAATTCGAACTTCAGAGTTGAATTAACTCGAATTCAGTCTGTTCAGAGTTAAATGAACTCAAAACTGAAAATCAGTTGAAAGATTCGAGACTCTGGAGTTAAATTAACTCGAAATTTGGAGTTAAACCAATTCCAGCTTCAGAGTTAAATCAAGTAAAACTTCAAAGTACAATCATTCCGAACTTGAGAGTTAAGTCAATTCGAACTTCAAAGTTAAATTAACTCAAATGTAAACCTGTACATAAAGTAAATTTTACAAAAGACAGTGACCATAGACAATCCAGAAGATGTCTTCTGGATTGTTTATGCAGTGACTCTAGCTTGAACTCTTCTAATCTCCCTTTCCCGCGTATTTCATATCCAGGTTCCAAATATGGTCAAAATCATTCCTATGATGCATTTCGGTCAGGCACACTTCGGGCTGTGCTTCGGGTTTCTTTTTCTGTTTTTCAAGACTTTTTTGTTCATGTCGACTGTTGTCGGACTTGTCGCACAGTTAAAAAGAATTTGATACACCTTGTCGCTAACTTAGCAAGTCTTTTTATTGAAAGTTACAAGTAGCAACTGCTTAAGGAGACAATAGATGGTAAGTACATTTTTAAAATTTGGTTGGCAAGCATAAACTGCATGGTGAACGTGAACAGCCATAAAACAGCCGCAGCGAAACTAAGCCTAGTAAATTCACACTATCTTGAATTTTTTAATTTCCTTTACGGTTTTTTAAGATTATATTAAGATATTCCAACAATTTTGCACAGTTTTTTCTATTTTTGAAGTCTTTTTAATTATTTTCAGGCCGTAAGGATTAGGGAATTTACTTTTAACTTTATTTTGAAAACAAAAAATTAAGGCTTTTCATTTATATTAAAAACTTAGTGTATATTTCGTACACATTCGTGAACACAGCCACTGTAGAATATTTAAACAATTTAGTGATAACTTTATGATTTTTCATTGTGTGTGAATCTTGTCAGTTTACGCAAAATATGACTTTGTTTTCGAAAAGGCTAACGCCAAGAGGGGTTTGCATTTTTGTCAAAATACAAAAGTAAAGAAGTTTCAGTGTCTGGGAAGTTTGTAGGAAAATTCCCCTTTGAGTGGAAGCATCGTCACCAAAGTCGAGCAAAGTCCAAAGTCTTTACTTATTTTCTACTTTAAAGCATGCTTAAACTTTGCAGGAGCAGGATGTGGAGGGTTTGAAACGTAAATTATCCGAATCGGAAGCCAATGAAACGATAATCAGGCTACTGTTGATGAAGAGGTTGGTATTTTCTATTTATTTTATAGTGATATTAGTTCATGCTAAAATATTTGCACTTTTAAAATACACGATTCCCTCCGGTTGGGAAAAAGGATTATAAAAAATTATAAATGCCCATGTACGCAGGCCCATTGTTAACTTCTGCTTGCATACCATCGTGTGATTTAATAGATTTGTTAACTGTGAATCTTACGAAGATTCAGTTAAAATATAATTACTGAGGAAACATATTTGAATGATGTTTTCATAGTGCATATACATCTATCAATACTGGTATATTTTCCCACTCAGTATACATGCTTGTTCAGTACAACTGAAATCTTGACATAGTGGATTTTTTTGTGTACTGTGCCCATTTTTTGCCCCTGCATGTTGGGCCATATCGGATTTGACAGGGTCTTTAATGTGATTTGTGTAATTGTTTGTGTCTACAGATTTTCGATGCCCAGTCTTTAAGGTTATCCATTAATGAGTTACTAAGAACTATTGGCCTAAAATGTGGACAAATCATTGCAATTAGAAAAGCATTTCCTAGTTCTTTGGATACAAGCACTAAAGAATCTAAAGAAAGCTGCTCCATGGCCTTAATCAACTATTCCTATGGTACGATTGTGTTTAATATGTTCAGGCAACTACTACTAAAGGATGCAGTCATCTCATTTGTTGTCAACATATCTGATTTTTTAGTCATTTTCTACATTTCCTTTTTTATGTTTTCTTTGCTGCCAAATTGTAATGAACACAGACCCCCAATGCAATCATTTTTGCAGAAAAGCAGGAATCTGCCAAAACAAGTCATGTGAGTAATCAATATTAATGTATGTCACATATCAATTTCCCCACAACAAATATGTATATATATATATATTATATATTATATAATATATATAATATATATATTATATAATATATTATTATATATATATATATATATTTGTATCTTTTGTTCTCTTAAACTACCCTACCACCTATATTTACCCAGTTAAAGACAAAAAAAGTGCAAAAGCCTAAGAATCTATAAACTTGTACATTATTTTTCACATATACAGTTATAGTTAGCTTAGAAACAGATTTGCCGCCTTTGGCAATTTTTTCTGGCAACTTGCACTTCAATTCTTCTTTTGGGAGATGTAGATTTGGCAACTACCGAACTTTTGTCTTTATTACGCTCCATTGCAGTTCTTACACTTACATTTTAATGACTCCTCACTAATTAACAGCTCTTTAAAGTAGAATTGCAATGCCAGTTACAAGGAAAATTGTGTGTAACCGTGTAACAGGGCCTTTAGAATTTATAGGTGGGAGATAATTGGGAGGCAAAAAAGATGTTTGCTTTCACCAGTCCACTCCTTATAAGCATCTCATCTACAAATTTTGAAGCAGCAAAATGAAGATCTCTGTTCTGTCATGTAGTATTTGACTGACTGTCATGACTGTCATGTAGTATTTATTCATTCATTTGAATTATTATGTGATATAATATTGCTGATTAATACATGGCAGGTTTAGACACGACCATTCATTTCCATGGAGAAAACTTATTTATTTAGGAGCAAATAGAACTAGCTTGCATGAAATTGCACTTTTTAGAATACTAATGAAAATCATTGTTGTTTTAATCAACAGAGCAATGCATCACTGTCCAGTGCTTTTGTGAAAACACCTGAGTCTGGAAAAAAGAATATAATATCCATAGAGCTGCCTGAAAAGTCATCGGTAATTAAAGCAATTCTATGAGAAAATAAATCAAATATATCATATATCAAGGTATATATATATATATAACGTTAGTAATATTTATTTGCATTGCAGTTATCTCCAAGAGTACAACAGGGACTAAGAGAAGGAAAGTTGATAGACAAAGCCAGAAATGAGTATGTCCGAGATGTGTGCAATGTAATCCGTACATTTTCATTGTATATATGTATGCATGTACAGTATAGGCATATAGTTAATTGTTCATTGCTATTGTTTTTATAATTTCATAACTTGCCCTACAGTTGTCCATGATTTCGCAGATACATCATATAGTCTATTAATCCTCGTGCGTGAAACTTTTTGTGAATTATGCTTACTATATTTATGTAGCTACCCCTATATAATTATAAGCCAATCAGAAAAAGGCCAGTTATATTCAGTCCAATTAATTGGCTGATTATAACTAAGAATGTTCAATTACCCCCTGAGTTTACATGAGTGTAGACAATATGTTTTATTTGCGATTGAAAAGGATCAAATAAGTTATATACTGTTATATTTTCATGTTATAGATTTAAAGTTAATAACTGCATATTTTTATGTGTTTTATATACGTGTTTTTAAATAAAGGTGATATTTTAATGATTCGGAGTTGTTTTCACTCGTTTATTGTGTGTGAGTTTAAATAATCCTGCAATACGGATGATGACTCTTTTTGGGGTTAAAGTTACCCTCTTCTTATTTGTTTTATTAACTCCATCGCCAATAGTTAAAATAACTCTATATTCGTTAGAGTTAAAGTAACTCTGAAATACGGATTATTCTGTCCCCGTTTTTTAACTCCATTTTTAGGGTTAAAATAACTCGTTGCAACTAAGAGTAATTTTAACTCCATATTCGTTAGAGTTAAAGTAACTCTGAAATACGGATTATTCTGTCACCGTTTTTTGACTCCTTTTTTAGAGTTAAAGTAACTCGTTGCAACAAAGAGTAATTTTAACTCTATATTCGTTAGAGTTAAAGTAACTCTAAAATACGGATTATTCTGTCACCGTTTTTTTAACTCCATTTTTGGAGTTAAAATAACTCGTTAAAATTCTCTGTGCGGTCGTAATAATACAAACTCCGCCGATTTATGCCTAAGAGGTGATAATCCGCTGGGCTGATAGGAATGATTCCAAAAGCATTTTTTATATCTGTTTTCGCCAGGAAACAACCCCGGCCGCTTTTTTAATAAGTTGAATAGCGTCGTCAACGATAGCGTACCGCACAGATGTTTCGAAATCGGGTATACCATCATTAACCGATGCTCCCTTTGGAAACGATAAATGATGAATCATGCGAAAATCACCCGGTTGTTTTTAGGAACCAGGCCCAAAGGCGAAACAAGAAAATTTGGAAAAGGCGGATAATTAAATGGCCCAGCAAGGCGAGATGCCTGTAACTCTTTCGTTAATTTTGGTCAACCGCTTCTGGTTTGTCAAGAGCAGACCGTAAATTTATTGCTTCAAACGACTGTTCTGTGCCAGAGAAATGAATGCGAAAACCCGAAGTAAATCCGGAAATTAGTGTATCAACAACTTGGATTATAACCCTAACAATATTTGTAAATTATGAAGTTTATGGGTGTTGCCAACGGACGTTGTTGAAATAGGCCTAGGCGATCCATCAGTGGGAGATGGTCTGTTGTTGGCACGAAAATTACAATTCACGGCACGGTGCGATCCGTTGCATTTAAAACAAGTGTGCTTGAAATCACAACCCGCACAAAACGTTCCGCGATAAACTTAAAACAATATCCCCGAGGAACAGACACTTTTGAAGGGTGGCGCGTATGATTGCTGCCTTGCGTGTTCGGCTTAGAAGGAAGTGGGATATTGACATTTCAACCATAACTCCCAGTGAACAGTCGCCCAGGGAACCCGCGTGGCCTGTGTTTGGCGCAAAAATCGAAAATTCTCATCGTAGTAAAACCAATTATGACCCCTATTGACCAAATCCTGGATGATTTGACAATATTTCATGAGCGCGGGGGACTCATGGGGGTACCGTTGTGTATAAATGGAAACAAAAATATGAAACGAACGAAGCCAATCGCTAATAGTTTTCACCCTTTTGGATTTCGCAGTCGGCTCAAGGAGAAGAGAAGCAGGTTGACCGTTGTCAGAGGTACGTACACTAATCTCGTATTTAGCGGCCGCGTCTGGGCCACCTGACAAAGTACTTATATCGACAAACTCCTCATTCCATATTTTAAGCTTTATTTTATCCGGAATCCGCGATTCAAGAGGCAAAGCGGCAGAGTGGAACGATTCCCGTGGACCCGGGGCACTTGAACATTGAAGAGAAAAAGGAGTGGTCTGACCTGTAAGGTTTTCTTGTATGGACGTGAGCGCGTCGTTGACCAGAGAATCTGCATTGGGACCCTGGTTTGAGATTTCGATTCCGGAGGTAGAATCCGTTGGGGCAGACGCCATTGTGGATGTGGAAGACGCAGAGGTTGGTAAGAAACCAGCTAGCTTTTGCGTGACTGCCTCGGTAACCGAAGACACCAGCGTTGAGATAAGCTCACTCGAAAGAGAGGGCAAAGTCGCTTGACTCACGGGCACAGTTGACGTTGACGGGGCGGCACCAACAGATACAGCATTGGACGAACTTAAAGTTCGACGAGATGTTGTTGGTTGGTTCTGAACAGACTCTCGCAAAAACGGCTGATGGAGCGGCGACACGCTTAGAACGACGTACGGGTGGCATTCTAAGAAATAAAACTTTAAAAGCAGAAATAGATACTTATGGCGTAATGAGTTTTTAGATAGTAAAGCAACCGCACCCAAATTTTGTCGTTGTGCGAGAAATAAAACTATCCCCCGTAATGGCGAACATTCAATAGTGAGGATTCGTCCGTTATTTGTCGTAATTGAAAATTGGAACTTGTGAAAGAATGATTAGAAAATCAAACGTCAGCAGGATGAACATGGCAGATCCGAAGATCGCCGCACCGTTCACCCTATGGCCAACAAAACTCACAAAAAGTGTGAGAACTCTCATACAGATGAGAGATAAAGACAAAATCAAACGTCAGCAGGATGAACATGGCAGATCCGAAGATCGCCGCACCATTCACCCTATGGCCAACAAAAAACTCACAAAAAGTGTGAGACCTCTCATATAGATGAGAGATAAAGACAAAATCAAACGTCAGCAGGATGAACATGGCAGATCAGAAGATCGCCGCACCTTTCATCATATGGCCAACAAAACTCACAAACAGTGTGAGAACTCTCATATAGATAAAAGATAAAGATATAATAGATAAAGGCGCTAAAGCGGTATTTAAGAAGTAATCACGAGTAAAGTTTGTCAAATGTCAAGATATATATATATATATATATATATATATATATATATATATATATATATAGATAGAGAATTTTATAACATTTTAGTTGCTTGAAGAATGGCCCCCCGATAACTTCGGTATAATTTATATTGCCCGATTCGATTAAAATGGACCCCGTCAGGTAGAAATGGCGTCACGGAAGGTCGTATAAAGCCATGGTGTGTCCATAAAAACACTCTCGGGACCTTCTCTAAAACTACCTGTAGATAATTGTTCAGCATTAAACGCTGCTTTTCAAAAAGAGGGTTGTTCTTTCGCGGGGAAATCATGCATGCGCATACCAATTTTACGTGATATTGATCCAGCAATAAAGCAACCAAGTCGTCAATGCGTGACCCGACTGTTTCGGGCCTTAAGGAGGACAAATCGTTCGTGCCTATCTCCAGAATAACAATATCTGGGGCACACCGAGAAACTACGCCTAAATCAAATTTGCGAATCTTCTTCACTGTTCTACCTCCTATACCGTGTAGAGAAACTCTCGCTGTGCCCTTGAGTTTAAAGGTTGGGCACATGCGAATATCCCGTTTATGTTTCAGGTCGCACTGTAGGCGACGAACAAATGAGTGTCCCAGGACCAAAACTTTTGGGGGTACCATTGTGTATTCGTAGCTACTATCTATAAAAACCCTTCTGGGAGAAACTATTAAAATTATCTATCTATCTATCTATCTATATGTATATCAACATATAAATATATAGAAAAACAAGTAGAACACTTCTGTAAATACCTTTCAACTTTAAAGGAGATCTGTCTTTCGCGATGTCACGCTTAAACTGACCGTTTATGGTTTGGGTATTCGGTCTTTGTTAGTTTTCGATTTGCTGCTGGCCATTGACCACCTTTCCCATATTGCGTGCCATCCATTACCTGTCGGTCTTTTAGATAGGACGCAAAGCCCATAATATAAGATTTTTAATTATCGTCGGCAAGGCGTATCCCCTTGGGGAACACCTTGCCTTAATAGTCTATTTATAAAATCACATTACATAAATTTCTTATTTCCTTCGTAAATATTTTGTTTTATATTATACTGTACAATCATTCACATGATGGTTATAGTCGGTGCAAACACGCAGTTTGCTTGCAACTGCACATACCATTGTTTAGGCGATAGCTATCCGTTTTGACGCGAAACTTCACAGTCACGACCGCTGGATTCGATCGATTTCTTCAACAACTGTTTCCGAGACAACGTGTCCGCGATGTTTTCTGGACCCGGAAGATACTTAACAGTAAAATCATAATTCTGCAATCTCAGAACCCACCTTTCGACTCGTGCAGAGGGCCTATGGGTTTTGGAATAAATCACTTCTAATGGTTTATGGTCTGTCAAAACCTCAAAGTGAATCCCGAACAAATACACATGAAAAACCTCACAAGCCCATACTATACTTAATGCTTCTTTCTGCGTCTGAGAATACCGCCTTTCCATGTCAGAAAGACATCTACTAGCATATGCCACAACCTTCATTACATTTTGTTGCTTTTGCACAAGCACTGCACCAAGACCAACAGGACTAGCATCTGAGATTATCGACGTTTCTGCATCCTTATCAAAAAAAGCCAATGAATCAGCGGTAGACATCGTATTCTTAAGCTCTTGAAACACCTTATTCTGTTCATTTCCACAAACAAAAGGTGTAGTTGTCCTGGTTAACTTCCGCAGGGGTTCAGCCGTTATAGCTAAATCTGGAATGAACAGACTACAGAAATTTACCAGACCAAGAAAACTCCGAACTTCAGAGGCTGTTTTCGGCTCCGTAGCATTCACCACAGCCCTGATTACTCCTCAGTGAGCCCAATTGTAGTGTATATGCCTTGTCTCTGATACGGATTGATACAGATTGATCTAGTCTTCATAAAATGTTTTATTCTCTGTTTTATTCTATGTTACAGCATCATCCAGCAAGCCAACAACGGTGCTAATTACGCATGCATATTTATACCTTACAGCCTAATTAAATATTCAATATATATATATATCACATAGACTACAAGATCTGGAGCTGAACGCCCATGGTCATTTAATTTACTTTATCCTTTTCACAAAGTTCATAATGAAAAACGGTTTTGGTAGGATTCGAACCATCGATTTAACACTTCGGAGACCATTGTTTTCGCCACTAGACCACAAGGTCTTGTGCTGAACGGTTATGGTTATTTAATTTACTTTATCCTTTTCACGAAGTTCATAATGAAAAACGGTTATGGTAGGATTCGCACCATCGATTTACACTTGGGAGACCATCCTCCTCGCCACTCGACTACAAGGTCTTGTGCTGGATGGCCATGGTTATTTAGTTTACATTGTCCTTTTACGAAGTTCATAATAAAAAAAGTTTTTGGCAGGATTCGACCCATCGATTTAACACTTGGGAGACCATCGTCTTCGTCACTAGACCGCAAGGTCTTGTGCTGAATGACCCTGGTTATTTAGTCTACGTTATCCTTTCATGAAGTTCATAATAAAAAATAGTTTTGGCAGGATTCGAAACATCGATTTAACACTTGGGAGAAAATTGTCTTAGCCACTTGACCACAAGTTCTTTGGGTGAACGGCTATGTTTATTTGATCTACTTTACTGTTTTAACGAAGTTCATAATGAAAAGGGTTATGGTAGGATTCGAACCATCGATTTACCACTTAGGAGACCATCTCCCTCGCCACTAGACAGCAAGATCTTGTGCTGAACGGTAATGGTCATTTAATTTATTTTATCCTTTTAACGAAGTTCATAATGAAAACGGTTAAGGTAGGATTCGAACCATCGATTTAACACTTGGGAGACCATCGTCTTCGCCTCTAGACCGCAAGGTCTTGTGCTGGATGACCATGGTTATTTAGTTTACTTTATCCTTTCACGAAGCTCATAATAAAAAATGGTTATGGTAGGATTCGAACCATCGATTTACCACTTCTGAGACCATTGTCCTCGCCACTAGACTGCAAGATCTTGTGCTGGATGGCCATGGTTATTTAGTTTACTTTATCCTTTTACGAAGTTCATAATGAAAACGGTTATTGTACGATTCGAACCATCGATTTAACACTTGGGAGACCATCGTCTTCGCCTCTAGACCGCAAGGTCTTGTGCTGGATGACCATTGTTATTTAGTTTACTTTACCCTTTCCACGAAGTTCATAATGAAAAACGGTTACGGTAGGATTCGAACCATCGATTTACCACTTGGGAGACCATCGCCCTCGCCACTAGACAGCAAGATCTTGTGCTGAACGGTTATGGTTATTTAATTTACTTTATCCTTTTAACGAAGTTCATAATGAAAACGGTTATGGTAGGATTCGAACCATCGATTTAAGACTTGGGAGACCATCATCTTCGCCTCTAGACCGCAAGGTCTTGTGCTGGATGACCATGGTTATTTAGTTTACATTATCCTTTCACGAAGTTCATAATAAAAAATGGTTTTGGCAGGATCCGAAACATCGATTTAACACTTGGGGGAAATTTTTCTTAGCCACTAGACCACAAGTTCTTCGGGGGAACGGCTATGTTTATTTGATCTACTTTATCGTTTTCACGAAGTTCATAATGAGAAAAGGTTAAGGTAGGATTCGAACCATCGATTTACCACTTATGACACCATTGTCCTCGCCACTAGACGCAAGATCTTGTGCTGGATGGCCATGGTTATTTAGTTTACTTTATCCTTTTACGAAGTTCATAATGAAAACGGTTATGGTACGATTCGAACCATCGATTTAACACTTGGGAGACCATCGTCTTCGCCACTAGACCGCAAGGTCTTGTGCTGGATGACCCTGGTTATTTAGTCTACTTTATCCTTTCACGAAGTTCATAATAAAAATAGTTTTAGCAGGATTCGAAACATCGATTTACCACTTAAGAGACAGTTGTCTTAACCATTAGACTGCAAGGTCTTGTGCTGAACGGTTATGGTTATTTAATTTATTTATCCTTTTCACGAAGTTCATAATGAAAAC